CCCCATTTCCCAATATGTTCTTTTAATACATAAAAATAAAAGTAAGCCAATTTAAAATTCTTTGTGGATTCAATGTGTTCGTACATGTTACATACCCCACCACTGAACATGTTTTTTTTTCCTAATCTCAAATTTTATTTCCATCAATTTCAAGACTATATATACATTATAGAATTTAATTTAATTCAATAATAATAATTATATTTATTATTAATTTATATATTATCTATTAGAGATTAAGTTTCTATTTTATAATTAAATTATTTTTTTATTCAGATGCAACGTGGGGTAGGTGCGGGACGGTTCATCTTTCTGGTGGGCCAATGGGACCTCACCTCCTCCGCTCTTAATAGCTTGGACCATTTCATTCATTTTGCCTTCGGCTAAAATGCTTGGGTTTAATCACTTTCGTTATTAAATTATCAGACTTTAAACCCTAAACCCTAAAATTAAATTCATGAATGGTAATTGCTTAAGGATCTCTTTCTTGCATTATTGTTGTGAAAAGCAAACTAAACGCAAATTTAGCTTTATTGATTAATGTCCAAGCGGTATTAGAAGTCTGGATCACATTATTTTCCTTCACATTCAGCATTTAGCAACAGTGTAATACAGATTACACTCTGCAAACTATTCAACAGTGATGAAGTTTTCACAAACGATAAGCAACATATGTGACTCATTGATGTCCCTCAATGACGAGCTAAGTAAGCCGCTCGATTGACAAGGAAATGCTAGAATCTCGAGCACACACCGGGGCATCAGAACCTTCGGAGGGCAACAGAGTGTCTATTTCCACAACATTTTCGGTGTGTTTCGATATTCTCCGGTTTTCAGGGAATTTCCAAACCCCGTGATTCCAGTAGTTTACTCAGTTTGCTAGTAATGCGACATCAACATGATATTGTGACTAGTTTTATTTACAAAATGAACACTTGACTTTTGTGTTATGCATGGTTGATACGGATATCAGGTAACAGCAAAGTGATTGCCCCCTTGTCACTTTTAGACTAGTATCCATACCACAGAAGAGGGGGGGAAACTCCCTACGTCGAAGCATGAATTGTTGCGGTTGCAGCACTCTTTTAAGACCCCGACATATACGTGTACCTTGTCTGAACTCCAATTATAAACTCAACTATTTTTTCTGCCAAAAGAAAAGAGATTACCTATTAATGTTTGATCAATAATGCGGTTGACATGATTTCAATGAATTCAAGATACTAAAGGGGAAAGAATCTGTCCAATGCACCTGCTAGAGTTCCCCATTAGTGGAACAGGCTCCAATAGCTTTCCAGTGTTTTCAATTTTTTGCCTGAATACACACATACACATACTAATTTATTAAATTCGTCACAAATGTGAAATGCATCGACAAAGGAATAGCGAAGTAACTTTGTGATGAATTTATCAGTTACCTGATGTAATTGTTAAAGAATGGCTCTCTCATGAGGTAAAGAGCCCACAACAGTTTTCGTCTTTTGACCAGGATCAAACAGTTGACATCACCAAAGCTCTAAGGTAATGATTTTAAGCAATGATATTGTTTCCACAAAGCAGGTTTGCAGATAATCGCACCAAAAGTTGATAAGTCGGATGTGATTGGAAAATTTATCTAATGATTCTAACCTCATGGGTTTCAGAGTCAAAAAGATGGAACCGTTGCTCTTTTCCGCTCTTCCCTGATCTTGTAACAAGAGAAAGCCAAAGCCAGGGAAAGAAACCAAGGAATCCATGATCTAGTTATGTATCTTCTAATGAACAGTACGTAAATAAGTGATCTCGTAATATAGAGGACCTCCCCGAGAACAAATAAAGCTCCGTTGACACCCTTGTCTGATAAAATCCTTGAAAGAGTAGGCCTTTCAATTATTGAAGCTGTGAAAGGAGAAATTGCAAATTTTATTAGACTTTCTGATCAATTCAATATAACGAGTACTAAATGATGAGATTTTAACAAAATAATCAATTGGAGGCTTCATAATTGCATGTTGTTGTTTAATTCTCTGCATCCATGACGGGTCAGATACCATCAGACCACTCTCTCCAAATTTTCTCAAAGCAGACAATGCCTTTCCTTCAACACTCCATGGGTTTTGACCATGATCGTCTTGTAACAAATGAGGTCCATGACGGCCTCCAAGCTTCTGAAAACCCCCAATTCTATGTTGTAAACTTGTATTCTCAGAATCTTTTTCAACATTTGGTGTCTCTCCACCCTGAAGAAGCATTTTATATCCACAGTTCCGGAATAAAGCTAATCGAACAATCACCCTGATGTACAACAAGTACCAAGTTACTAGGCAAACACTTAACGCCAATATATTAGAAACAAAACCCAGGGGAAGATTTGAAGTGCTATTAGTCAGATAATGAATGTTTCTTACTTGATAGCCTCTGTAACAGCTATAAAATTCCATTTCTTATCACCACAATACCGTTCTGCCACAACTTCAACCAAAGTTTCCAAGTTACTTAGCACAGATAAGCACAACCCATAAGGGAATGATGAAGGGTCAGCTGAGCAAGTATGCCTCTCATCAGGGGCAGTATCGAGTATATGCTCGTTGATTGTAGTTAAGATGCCCACAATCGAAGTTACTGCATAAGTGTATCAAATTGTCCAATGAGGGAAAAATTGTAGACAATGAAAAAGATAATACAACTTAAGAGAGGATTTTTTTTAATCTTCTATACTTCATAAACCATGGAAGAAGGGACGGGGGAGCAACATTTAATTGGATCCTAATCAAAATATAGTGGGAACACCAGACTTAATGTGCTAATGCATTTCCTTCTCAACTTAGAAGCAATCAATCAGATGATTACAATAAACCAAGTTGAGGGCAGGAGAACCTTTTTAGTTTCTAAGCTAGCAAGAAGTAGCCAATGTTACCGAAGTTTCACAAAAACCTGCTTCTGTCCTTATCTCTGAATCGGAGAACAGTTCAGGAAGAACCCATGTCAATCCCTGCAAAACATTTTTCGATAACAGCATAAGATAGCAATACACAACTTTCGGAACACAGTCCAAAGTCATTCACAAAATCTTGCCTACATTACAAGCTCATTCTTAACATGAACATCATCGTATCCAAATAGTCAAACTATCATAGTTCATAGATACAAAAAAATAGAAATGAAAACCAAGGAGATGTACTGTCTACAATGGTATCAAATATTAAATCTACTCAAAGCTGCTAACAGGAGACTGCAAATTTGCATACAATCATGGTTCTTCCCAATACAATAACCTTCCATTTACTGAGCTTTCCAATCCAACATCTTGAAAAACACATGTAAAAGGCAATTTCCATTTTTGATGCAGCTAAACATTCAAAAAGATCAAACCATTACCAAGAACCATATAGGTAACGTAACAGTTTTTTTTATTAACTTTTATGTAATTATAATTGATAGAAATAGATAAAGGCTTACATTGGCAAGAGAATCCAAGGAGTGCTCGTAGACTTTGTTCCTCCTAACCCATGCCTTATAAGCTTCCATTGATTCACAAACTTTTATCAAGTAATCAAAAACCAGAAATTCCAAAACGCCAACTCGTTGAGTCACAAACAAGCTAATTCAAGCTCAATCTTCGCCAGGATTTGAAATTTTGGAAGAAACCCAAATTAGCAAACACGCTAACAATGAACTTTGCAACGTAGACTTCGGTTCTGTAGAGGGAGAGAAAATGGAAGAATGTAGTGAATGTGGGTGGGGCCTCTGTTTACTCACTAAAATTGGGTATCTGATCCTCGAGCGTTTTAAGTGTAACTGTGATGTAGGATTATAATTGGTTTTGGTTACGATCTGTGTCTTCTCCGATGAACCGATTGATGTAAGATACAGCAAATTTTAGCGGCGGGGATATAGTGCTCTTGAGGTGACGAAAAGCAGGGAACCAACCATAAATCTAAAAGGGTAAACTCGGGCAGGAGATATCGGCTTTCTGCATTTCAATGAGCAATGGAGCATCGACTATGCGATATCATCAACCATAAATGAGTAGGGATGTGAAATGTTCAAGCTTCGGTCGAATTATGTCAGGTCACGTAAAATCTGTGTTAAATCAGTTTAAATTATTTTCAGGATAATTTAAAATTAGATTTAATTCGAATTTATATCGGGTTAATTTTAGTTTAGATCGATATTAATTCATTTTTGAATCAGTTAAATATCAGGTTAATTCAGGTCGGATGAAATTCGGGTCAGATCACGTTCAAATTTGGTCACACATTGACAGATAAATTCATGTCAGATTTTATCGCGTACAGATGAACTTCAGGTCGGATTATTTTTGGATGAATTATTTCCGTCTTTTTATGAACATTGAATTGTATTTTGTAATTGTATATGATTTAGAGTAAATTACAAAAAAATAGAAATAATAATGGATCAATTTTGATAAAAATATAATTTTAAGAATTAAATTGAACAAACATTAAATTTAAATAAATTAAACAACATACAAGGATAAGGGAGCAAATCGAAATCATTGCAAAAAGTGAAGGTGAAATTAATATAAAAATGGACTAAATTGCATTAATTTAAAAAGTTGATGAAAAACCTTAATAGTATTTAGAGATTAAGATATAATTTATAGAGTGAAATGAAGTTTATGATGTGGTTATGGAGTTTGGAGTAAATTAAAAAAGATAAATAAGTATCAGTCAATTTCAAATAAAAATATAATTTTAAGAATTAAATTAAATAAATATAAAATGATAAATTTAAATTTAAATAAATTAAATAACATGTAAGGATTAAACCAAAATAATTATAAAAAATTAAATTAAAATTAATATAAAAATAAATTAAATTGAATTGAATTCATTTGGTGAATAAAAATTTATAAAATTCTGAAGATTATAATATAATTTATAAGGTTTGAAATGAAATTTATACGTGACGTATAACTTTAAGATAAACCCTTTGTTAAAGGGAGGTCCATGTAATAGTATTTGAAGTCCAATAACTATGGCCCAAAGAATGGATGATCTAATATTAGAAACGACGCCTTTAAAGCTAATTATTGCGTGAATGCAAAGCGGCACACGATTAGGGTTTTTGAATTTCTGCCAATTTTGTTCAAAATGCAGTTGACGCTCGAGTTTGGGTAAGTTTTTTAATCAAATTTATTACTTTGGGTACTATCAATTTTTCGCGTGCCACAATCAATTTGATCCTAATTTGTATTGCGGTTTTCAGTAAAGAAGTTCATTTTAATTTACTTAATTCATGCCTTTTTTTATTTTAATTCTATGATATTCATTGTTTGATGCAGTGGAGGATTAGAACTTCTATGTGAGTCTGTTAAAGTTCATAATGTCAATGTTGATATGCCAAAAGGAGCAGATAAGGTAAATTATTTCCTTTCCTTTTCCTTTTTAAACCCAGCATGTTTCAAGCAGAGCTTAATTTTTGAGGATTTAATGTATTGGGTTTCGTTTTGTGCTTTTCTCAGTTAACCATGAAGGATTTACTATCATGGGTTCGTACCAATTTGATCAAAGAGAGACCCGAAATGTTCATGAAAGGGGAGTCTGTGTAAGTGTTTCAAGGGTCTAGACTCTGAGCACTCATTTGCAATTGATGCAAAATATTGAATTAGGAAAACCATCCATTTGGTTGATGAGTAGTATTGGTTTGTGCAGGAGACCCGGTGTTCTCGTCCTTGTAAACGACTGCGATTGGGAGTTGAGCGGTCAGCTCGATACAACCTTGGAAGAGAAGGATGTGGTAGTTTTCATTTCAACTTTGCATGGTGGATAGATGGTATGACCATCTAGGTTATATATAGTTAGTATATCTTACAAACAATCATCACGAAGAGTGTATCAGTTTTTTTTTCAAAAAGTGTTTTCACCTTTGAACTTCATTATTGAAGATGTTATATGAAATTGCAACAAAATGTCTACTGTTTCACGTTCTTTATCTGCCATCGTTGTCATTTTGCTATACATAGAAATTCCATGGCAGGTATTCAAGTTTTACCAACAGCATACTACTTGACCTAAAACACTGGTTTGTTGATTGACTTAAAAAAATGAAATTAATGGAAAATTTTCCAACCTACTTATGGAGTGATGAGTCCGGGGAAAACATCATCTGGATCTCCGGATATGAGGGTTTAAATGATGTCGAAGACAGAGTTCAGAGGAGTAATCTTGATGATGAGTCCGGGGAAAACATCGTTAGGGTCATGAATATGAGGGTTGTGTTCCACTATAATGGTTCACCACACTTATCACTTATGGAGTGAAGGGTTTCTCCTTCCGCAACAACATAGATTTCATCACACGCTCGCTCCAACAGCTGATGGCCGACCACTTTGTCATCATACTCCGCTTGCCATTGTAGAGTCAGTTTCCTTGAAAGAGTTGAGTAGTAGTACGGTTACCAATACGAAGGTGCATCACCAAGATGCTTCGTCCTCAGCTGTAGATATTAATGCAAACATCCAACTCCGACAACGAATATCAGAAGCCAATGGGAAAGGGAGAGTGGGGCACTACACCTGTATTGTGTGAGGCTGAGGACAAGTATTGGTGGTTTACAGTGGTGGGGGGAGGGGAGAGGCCACCGTTGGGTGTTTGCTCGAGAGTTTGAGTTGTTTGGTTATTTCTTTAGTTTTGTGATTGCATCCAAAACAGAAAAGGAGAATAACGATAGAATACGATAGCTCTATTTTTGTTTTGCTTCATTGATGGGTTCCATCTCCCTTCTAATCATTTTATTGCAACTTTGTTCATATAATTCATGCACTACGAATGGAAAGAGCGGATCCAAGGAATGCGTTATTGAATGCCATATCTGAAATTCAGATCTTATAATTTGATTGTAAAATATTTTTTTTGTCGCCGACCAAAAAAAATCCTATTTGTATGTTTTATCTTACAACATAATACATCTAATCTAAGCCAGTTCAAAATTGTTGCATGAAAACCCAACCTATATAATAGATATCATGATCATCCGTGTCAAACATGGGTAACCAAAATGCGGCAACTGCTTCAGGGCTGACATAATACGAGGATCCATAGCAGTGCAAAGAATGAATTTAATTTGAAGCTACTTAAAGCCAGAGAGAGAGAGACTTGTACAATCATATACACATTGTGATTGGTCGAGCCTAGTAATTTTTGCTCCTCTCTTGGGATGTCGGTCATCGGAATCTGAAAGCCGGACTTGGTAATTTTGTTCCATTCATTTTCTACTCGAAAGAATATCCATTGGAACCTTCTTATCATCTCTAAGGCGGTGATCATAAACACAGTCAAGTAATTGTGGCGGAGATGAGCAGACAGTTTATACGTCCACGTGCAACGTAAAACCAAGTTGCTTCCAATAACCCAAAAATAAACCTACGAAGAAGGCGATCATGCATGTGAAATACCTATTGATGTGTCTTGCGGAATGAAATTGCATGAATAATTATCAGCATTAAGATTCTTACCCATCTTCTCCCATAGAACAGATTGGAACACAAACTTGGTTTGTTGAACTTGAAGATCCTAGTGAAGACACTGTCGTACATGCAGAATTTAAAATGAAATTAGGCGCAAGGAAATCCAAATTGGCCTCACAATCAAACAATATATATAAACTGTTTGGAAAAGGGATATATAATCAACCTAAGGTCCCAATCACGGGTTATGTCCCAATAAAATGAGTAGAGTGAGTTAACAAGACTTGAGAAAAGCCAGAGTCGACGATAAACATAGGTCCAACTATCAGGCAAGACATGATATTTAAGGGCTGATAGAAAAATCACAGGGACTGCTGTTGAATATTTTAAAGCTGAAAACCAAATGCAAATTGGGTTAGAATAAAAAAGACAGCAGTTAAACAGAAACAGAATGAAGATAAATCGGGTGTAAATAGTTGCATATAGCCCATATGAGACAAACCACATGAGAACTGGTAATAGAAATCACCAACAGAGCTTGATGATGGGCTGTCCAAAGAGTTTAAGAAATTTCTTAAGGCAAAACATTGTACACTTTACAGCTTCATTGATCCATATCCATTCTGAGCAGAAGTAAATTTTAATTAGAAAATAATAAGTATCAAGGTCCTAGGTGTATTACCATTTAAAAGGGTTGGCTTCTCTTTTGTATCTTTGTACTACCGCAAACATTGCAGTAGCCACCAAATATATGGAATAACAAGCACTAGTGGATTGCAACTGAGTAGCTGCCACAAACCGAGTCTGCTTCAAACCAAGCGATTGTTGCAACCTACATGACAAGAGAAACCTCATCTTATTAATCTGAGGATATCAACATTGCGTCAACAAAAAGAGCTTCAACAGTTACATGTTGATTGAATCCAAATTAAGCTTGATATATTTAGTACTAAATAAGAAAAACTAAGTATATCTTTTTTATTTCTTTACATCATCACTAAATAGATAAAATGGTTGGCCAACAACCACAAGCATTAGTTAATTAGAACCTAATACAAGCAATTTGAAAACAACTGTATTGTAAAGCATTAAAGGCACAATATTATGCCTCAAGTTCAATGAATTTTAACTGCACCAAAAACCAGAAGCAAGAGTAATCATATTCTCATAAAGCCTTTCTCTATGATCCTTTTTCTCCAAGTTTGAAGGATCTACCATCAGCTTATTTGTCTTAGAATCGCAGGGATACATAATGAAGTAGGCGATACAACTCGCAGATATTAATAATTAAAGGCCAAGAAATTGCTGGGTTGTTGGGAAGAGTACTGAAGGTCTCATCGTCAGCCAATTTGGGGGAAAAAACACCAAGCACTAAATTTGAGAGCGCTCTTAGCCTTTTATAAATAACATACCTAAAAATCTTCAGTATTGAAATTACCTGGCGATGAACCATTCGACAGACTGAACGCTCCAAATCTGAAAATACCTTCACAAAATAAAGATTACAAGGAATTAGGGGGAAAACCCAACTCCACTTTTAAATCAAATCCTAATTTAATGAACTTATGAGTATGTCCAGTATTTTTTGTCCTATGACACATCTAAGCAGCAGGAAACTGAAACTTTCTCCATAGGAGTATCAAAGTACAAGAGTATTTTCATAGATTGCTCCTTTAATTGGTAAAATCTAATTGTTAAGAGAAATGAAACAAGCTACTTGCTTAAGGATATGAAATGATGTTACAGGTTCATACCTTGGCCATGGAGGTTAAAATGTCTGCCAAGAAGAAGTCGGGAAAAGAAATAGGCTGTTGCACAAGAATTAAACAAGTAAAAAAATGTAAATGCATGTCAGCCACTGCAAGCAAACCTCTTGAGTATTGCCACTAAAAAGAAAAGTCTCCAGAGTAAAGGGAAAATACTCCCAATATGAGGAAATGCTAATCGGAAAATGCATCTTGCTAGCTCAAGCACAAAGAAAAAGAAAGCTACACTAGAAACTAGCCTGAAGTGGGAAAGCTATCCGCCAGAGTGTTCTTAGCAAGAAGTAACGAGATGAAAAGTAGAAAATGTCGAAGGGGAATATCAAAACCAAGGCAACAGCAACATAGAGGATCACCTGCAGGTTGTATTTCAAATGTCAGAACCATCAATGTGTCAAACTATTGATAGCATTAGAAACTTGGCAATCCTACAGAATCCAATCTACAAAATTACAACAGAGGACTACACACAGTCACCTAAACATTTGCATTCATACAGAATCATTAAACTGACAAGTAATAACCAAGTAGTAAGGCCATAATTGATAAATCTAATGGCTGAAAACATGCGAAAGGTTACCGTCTTGCAGTTATATTATAGGGACAGAAGATTATATAAAGCTGGGAAACAGGGTAGATATTACACTGGTTGCAATGCTGTCAATGCTACTTCTCCGTGGGAGTAAAGATAAAGGTATGCTGTCATGCTAGTTGGCACTATAACTGTCATCCATATGCTACACTGCATATAGCAAAACAGAAAGAAGACATTATAATAGGAATACATACTTTTTCTTAGTGGAACCACCATCACAGGACCAAATTCTTAATAAAGCATGCCAAGTGCAAAGATCCAAATAAAATGAAAAGCACATTTAAAACAAGTACCTTCCATATTTCTCTGTGAGTAAGGTGGTTTTGATCAAGATCAAATATTTTTGCATAATTAATAGTACTCTGGGAAAATACCCATAAACACACTCCCCACAGCCAAACCATCATGGTCTACAATTGCAAGAGCAAGAAGTAAGTCTCGACGGACATCTAATATCAAATATCAATCTGTAATCATCTCAAAGATATGTTAACTAACCACAAGAAGGAGAGGGTTATAATATAAGAATGCCTCATACAAGAACAAATCTCTTAAGTCTGCACTCATTCTCATGACTGAATCCCATCCAATCTGTTTCAGAGAAAGAAATCAAACATTCTCTAGATCAATTCTCACAAGAATCAAATGCATTCTAGCTAACTGTACAAATAGTGACCTTGCAACAAGTTAAGGCCCAGATCAGAAACCATAGGACCTTAAATCTCCATAGAAAGGTAGGAGAAGGCATTATGGCTGCGGCGTGCATAGGTGAACTGGAACCCTTCATTTCTCCAACCACGAAAGGGAACACTTAACCTTCTTGAACACTATTTCCAGGTTCACCGGCCCCTAAATTTAAAATAAATAAAAATTTAAAATAAATAAAAAGTAAAAAAAAACTAATTGTATTTTGTTAGATATGTTTAAATCGAAGGTCGATCAATAATTGGAACAGATAAAAGATTTACCTAGGTCAGAAGAAACAGATTTGGCGCCAGATTTCCGAAGATGAGGACTGTAAGAAGAACCGATTGCCGACGGATTTTCAAACATGAGCTTGCCAGGATTTCTTATACTCGATCTTAATTAAAATTACATCCTCCAACAGTCGAATACCAGTTTCATTTCCTCAGCCAAAAACAACAGAGCAAAATCACTTAAAATTAAATG